TGGGAGTTGAAGTCGACAAGCAAAGCTGAAATGAGGAACTCTGGGAGTTGAAGTCGACAAGCAAAGCTGAAATGAGGAACTCTGGGAGTTGAAGTCGACAAGCAAAGCTGAAATGAGGAATTCTGGGAGTTGAAGTCCACAAGCAAAGCTGAAATGAGGAACTCTGGGAGTTGAAGTCGACAAGCAAAGCTGGCTGAGGAACGTTGGGAGTTGGGAGTCCACAAGTCTTAAAGTTGCCAAGGTTGGAGACCCCTGCTATAGAGGACATCTTGTGCAATTGCCGTTTGGGCTTCCTCATTTCCCCCTAATGGTAGAACCAGTCCTGGAGTTCCACCTCTTTGCCCTTGTTGCTCTTCGAAGCCCACTTACCATCCCTGTGACAGCACAGTAAAAATCATGCAAGAGATGTCCATCTCAACTTAGTGCAAAAAAGATCCCCATCTCATGGCAGTATGTACATTGGAGACAATCACATGGGGCCTGATCTCCTGATCTCCTGATCTCCTGATCTCCTGATCTCCTCTTCTTTTGAAGCACTCTAAGATAATACCAGCCTTTGTAGGATGTTCGCACCCACCCCCTCCACTAGAAAACGAAATATTTTAGGAAATATTAAGAGGGTACAATAATTCCCCCTAAAAGGGAGGCAGGAAATCCTCCTTCCCACCTTGGTCAACGGACCATTAAGGCCTGAGCCAGTAGATCGACATTCAGGAGGACCCCCCTGGGAGTCTGATAGCCAATGGGATGCATTTCTTACACAGGAACAGGAAACAGAAAGGCGGGGCCCAACAGTGGGTATAAAACTCAGACTCTCTCAGCATCTCAGCCCTTTTCTGCTCAGGCCCTCAAGCCATGTGGTCCTGCCCACCATTAAACCATCTTTCCAAACAGCCGCCATGTTTCCAGTGTCTTTCCCCCTACTTGGCACTGAACCCAGAAGGACATTTCTTCCATCGCCTTAAAAAAACCCCCACTAAATTTCCACAAAGGAGAGACTCCTTACACTCCCTTCTCAGTGTGTGTTGCCATTCCCGCACAAAGCTTACAACTCAGATATGTGTGTGTGTCTGTTTTAGCTGCAAATCCCCCCCCCCCGGGGGCCACCCTTTGGGACCTGCCCTGCGGGACATTGTAACCTGGGATCGCCACCGCCTTCTGAAGCCCACGGCCTGTTCAGCGATTATTGCACTTAATTGTTTTCGGAAAAGAAGACCACAAAACACGACACCCGACAAACCGACACGAATTCCCAGGCATCCCTATGGCACTTTTTGCATTGTTCTGCATAATTATTATTATTTTTGGAGAAGGTTAGCGAGAGGGAGGGAGAAAGGAGAGACAGAAGAAATGCCGAGGAAGGCCCACCCCCCCGCCCCGAGTCATATTTCCGATTCTCTCCGGTACGGTCTTTGATCGAGGGGTCCTACAGACGTCGGCCGCCTGTCAAATTCAGGCTGGTCCTCTGAGCACGGATTATCCAAGCCTCGGCAGTCTTCATCTCCTTCATCTACCTCCTCCTCCTCCTCCTCGTCGCGGCTCATGAAGGCGAGTTCGTTCTCGTAGCAGAAGGAGTTGGCGCTCGGGAGAAGGAACTTGTTCTCCACCAAATCCTTGGCACTACAGCAGGGCGTGGAGGGCACCTCGTAAGTCTTGTGGAAGTGCGAGTAGTCCACTTTGTACTGTTTTTTCTCCTCGAAGAGGACCGGCTCGAAGCGGTGACCCCAGAGGATCTCGGTGGACAAGTACGAACTCCGAGCCTGGGTGGTCATAGCCGTGGCCTCCACCATGCCCTCCAGAATCACGACGATCTCAAAGTCGTCCGTTTCCAAATCCTGCCGGCTAATCCCAAACAGGGGGCTCTCCTCGTTGATCTCGTGAAGGATTGTCAAGGGGGAGACCAGGAAAATACGATCCAAGCCTTTGTCGAAGCCGACGTCGATGTCTATCTGGTCCAGAGGGATGTACTCCCCTTCCTCGGTGATCCTGGGCTTGAGGAGCTGAGCACGGACATGAGCCTCTACAATGTGACTCTTCCGAAGGTTCCCCACTCTCCACATCAAGCAAAGCTTGCCGTCCCTCATGGCCACCACAGCGTGATGGCTGAACAGCAAGGTCTCGGCTCTCTTCTTCGGCCTGGCCATTTTGGCCATGATGGCGCCGATCATGAAGGAGTCGATGATGCAGCCGACAATGGACTGAAGGACCACCATGAAGACAGCCAAGGGACACTCCTCGGTCACGCAGCGGAAGCCATAACCGATGGTCGTCTGGGTCTCAATGGAGAAGAGGAAAGCGGCCACGAAGCCGTTCACCTGCAGGAGGCAAGGGGTGAAGGTTTCGTCTTTGGTGGGCTTCTCGATGTCCCCATGGACCAGGGCGATCAGCCAGAAGATGAGGCCAAACAACAGCCAAGAGACCAGGAAAGCGAGGGAGAAGAGCAGCAGCATGTACCTCCACCGGATGTCCACGCAGGTGGTGAACATGTCGGCGATGTACCTCTGGGGCTTGTCATCCATGTTGGTGAACTCGACGTTGCACTGGCCGTTCTTCTTGACGAATCGGTTCCGGCATTTCCTGCGCGTGTGAATCTTACCGTTGCCGAAGCCGTTCACTCCCGGCATGGTGGTCAGGATCAACCCGTCTTCCTCAGAAGATACGATGCTGTAAGGGTTGATTCTGCCTGTGCTCATCCCTGAGTTTGGCCTGCTGAAACTCCGGGCGCCTTCGGCTTCTAGGGGAAAGGTTTCGGGGTGAACAGGCAGGCAGATCTGAGCAGAACCTCTGCAACAAAAGGACAACAGAAAGATGGATAAATGACAGGTAGTTCTCGACTTACAGAAGTACACTTAGTGGCTATTCAAAGTTACAACAAGAAGAAGGGGCTCACGACCGCTGTTCGCGCTCACAACCGTGGCTGCAGTTGTGACCCAGGCTTCCTTAAAAAGCAAGAAGCAATTGGGATTGGGAAAGAATTTGGAACACAAATTATAAACTAACAATAGCAATAGCAGTTAGACTTATATACCGCTTCATAGGGCTTTCAGCCCTCTCTAAGC